TTTTGTCCGTAGATACGCAGTCTTTGTACATTTTTGTTGTGTCCACCGCACATGATTCGCAAGACGGCTTACAACAGATAAATTGTTGCATTCTTCTGTCAATAGATTATTTAAGAAAAACATTTACTCTGTATAATACAGAATATCACTCCGCTCTAAAAGGGTTAAGTAAGAACTCCATGCCAGTCGCTCCTTCCTGTGACGTGGGGTAATTACTTGCAGGCGGTGTGACGTCAAACCTCGAGAAAACCTCAGCCATTGTTGCCGTTTGTAGTTCTAGGAGAAGACCACGGCGCTATCTCGCATTATCGTGTGCTCTGGCCGCAACCTCGCTTGATACAACCGGTCGTACGAGCTTAAGGGCCATCAACGTGCTGTCTTCGGTAGCGGAAAGCGACGTCTTGGTGGAGAGTTTCTGTATTGGGAACTCAGACAGTATAGGCAAAGGTTGCTGTATGGCGTTGGGTGACTGTATGGTCGACCCGGACTGTATAGTCAAAGGTTGCTGTATAGCATTGGGTGACTGTATGGTCGACTCGGACAGTATAGTCAAAGGTTGCTGTATAGCATTGGGTGACTGAATGGTCGACTCGGACTGTGTAATCAAAGTTGGCTGTACATCCGTAGCGCAGAGGGAAGGCACATTGGCACCAGAGGCGTGCTGTTCGGAACCTTCACAAGTCACCAAATTGACACGTTGCGATAGGTTTTCCTTGACAAAATGACGGTCCGTACAGCTTTTCACTCGCTCGCGCGACGATTTCGTCCCCCACCGCTTCGCTCCTACCATTACCTCCTCCCCGGAAGTATTTGTAGGCGTAGCCGGCGGCGACACAGAGTCGTGGATGTAGATGCTCGAAGCCAGACTTTTAGCAGAACTTCTTGTAGTATCCTGCTTAACGTGGGCAATGCACCGAAAGGAAGTCGAGCTGCCGTCATCTCGGCCCCATCACTCGTGATCCGCTAGGTTCTCTTCACGGACAGCGTACATACGGTCGATCCAGTCTTGAAGTCAAGAGGGTAGGCTGTCTGGCCAGTTGTGTATGCGGCGAGCGTTACCGCATCGGTCACGAGAGCCGCCGGAACAAGGGAGACCAGCCACGTTGCGAACGCACGGCTCTTGTCCACGGCGGATGATCGGTATCAGCCGACGAATGGCACCGGGGATGGCTGGTGCTCGGTCTTGATCTCGCTTGCCTCGGCCGTCACGCCCTTGCCGGCTTTCATCCTCGTGAGCTTGAGTCGCGACATTGACCAGAGCCATCGTCCACGCGGCGGACTGGTACTCAATGCTGCGCAAAGACTCGCAGAAATTGGTCCACCACATCCGGTCATCCTCTTGAAGGTGGGCAAGTGCGCCACCCGCAAACTTGTTCACGTACATGAGGGTTAGCCGGACACGGGTCGGCGTGTTGCTTGGGTCGGCGGACTTGTTCTTGCACACGAAAGTTTGGAGACGAGATGTCAACTTGCGCATGTAGTCAAACCACAACTCTTGGCCTAACGCGTTGAGGCCATGAATGCCATCCAGAATGTCATCATACGAAGAACATTGTATCGTGGAGCCTGGTAGTGTTGCAGATAGGCTGAAGTCACTCGAGAAGTTGACGTTGGTCGAGCCATCCTCCAAGCACGACATTTCGCTCGCCTCCTTGAAGTGCATGACGGTAAGACCTCTTGAGCCCAGGCGCCCACTGAAGACCGCCTTCAGAACCGCCGGAGATGTCTTGAACTTCACTCACTCTAGCTCCAGCAGCATCAGCACAAACGACAGAGGAGACTTTATCTTACCTCGTTCCACGCCCAATCCACGGAACATGCGACTTGCTGCCAGAAGTTGGGCTTGCGGCGGATTATACTCGCCCTTGGACTTCTTCGAACTTTCCGGGAAACTTCCACACGTCAGGAAGCGAACCTCCGGAGGAGGAAGCTCTCCTTTTGTATTTGGGGCAGCAGAGCTTGGAAAAAATAAAATTGATTAGTAATGCAGGGTCATTGTGTAGGTCCATTCCCTTGGAGTGATGGACACCATTGATGGAAAAATATGGAATCTCCAATCTTCACTTGATCTAACTATGAAGTTTAGCATCAGATCCGGTCCTCAGAGTTTCCTAGCATCGCCAGTGATGAGTGAGGCTACTTTCCTAGCTCATCTGCCGTTGTCTGTGGCCTCGAGCCATTCTCCTTCAACCACTTTACGTTGGTGACGCTGTCGGCGGTCTAGTAGGCGATGTCTTTGCTCGCAATGGTCTCGTTGGC